AGAGCATCGAGAGAAGCAGAGAGACCAGAGAGACAGAGAGACGAGAGACAGAGAGGACAGAGAGACAGAGAGACAGAGAGACAGAGACAGAGAGACAGAGAGACAGAGAGACAGAGAGACAGAGAGACAGAGAGACAGAGAACAAGAAGGACAGAGAGACAGAGAGACAGAGAGACAGAGAGACAGAGAGACAGAAGACAGAGAGACAGAGAGACAGAGAAGAGACAGAGAGACAGAGAGACAGGAGAGAGACGAGAGACAGAGAGACAGAGAGACAGAGAGAGAGAGAGAGAGAGAGAGAGAGAGAGAGAGAGAGAGAGAGGAGAGAGAGAGAGAGAGAGAGAGAGAGAGAGAGAGAGAGAGAGAGAGAGAGAGAGAGAGAGAGAGAGAGAGAGAGAGAGAGAGAGAGAGAGAGAGAGAGAGAGAGAGTGTGTGGTGTGTGTGTGAGTGTAGTGACCACTCGGCCTTGGCTAAACTTTTTTTTTTTTACAAAAGTGAAGCACACTATGCCCACTGGACGAAGCACGTCTAAGGCGTTACCAAGGGATAGCATCGTGCAAAACTATAAGACCAGAGTCACCACAGACACAGAGAACAAGGAATGCATATACATGTTCAATGAACAACATTCAAACAACGCTACTGTAAGCACCAATCATCTCTGCTCAACAGATAACACCAGAAGAGCACGCGTCTATTAGTATTACAATACGTCTGGGCAAAGAAGGATTAGAGGAAGGCACGCAGCATGCAATGGATGGTACACCGCAAAGCAGCAGCGGCGTTCAGCACCTGCCTGCTGCATTTCGCTCCGCTATCTTCGCGTGGCTAGGGCACCATGTAAGAAGACCATAGCCTGTGCATGTGGGGACTCTAGTAAAATATGAATAAATAATAATAATAACAAAAACGAAAGGTGCAATCTATGCCTCGCGGAAATATCGGAAATCACACAAGCACCCCACCACCTACTGCACAATGAAAGGAGCGAACTACAAAGTGCCGCCACTTCGCAACTTCGAAGCTTCACCAGGCATCACCTGATCAAGTGGCTACCGCTGAGACAACCAACTACGTGTATAGTCTTTAGACCAGCTGATCCAGATTTATCTCACTGTTGTTGTCTGATGATTGCCTAGTGCGTGAAACTCGGTGTTACAACGAAATATTCATCCTCTTCTACTGGTTGTAAGTAGCTCTGAATGCGATGGAAATGGGCAGGGCTAGAGCCTAGGGGTTGAAAGCGGAGAGTAGATCAGAATGCTATGAATGGTATACGAGCTCTACTGCGCTACGGTACCGTACGGTGACTTCAACTGACGTACCACACGGGAAAGCGATGGTGTCGAAATTATGCATGCAAACGTTAATGAAGTCACAAGAACTTGCCAATGTACCGGTACATGTATCCATCGTATTTTATGTGTATTCGTTTCATACGTTGCACAACAGTCGAGCAGATCATCCGAGAAGGACGGGTTGGTGTTAGGCCTCGACCAAATATGCTAAAAAAAGAGCATAATTATGCTCGTCGCATATCAGGGAAAACGTCCTTAATATGCAAAAGGCTTAGCAAGATATGCAAAAAGATATGCCAAAATATGCTCGACATAAGCAGAAAGTGTAGATCATTTCAGTAAAATTACAACCTTGGAATATTCATTGGCTTCACGGCTATCATGCTTATGGTGCAAATCAAAACACATCCGGAATAGTATGGCTGGGGTGTGTCCCCAGCAACCGTAGCCATAGTGTTCATCCATGGGGAAATGTAGCAAACGCCTCAACCATTCCAAATTCATCCATAAAAGGCATTTCTGAACGCATTTTGTCCATAATTATGAAGTTGTCCTCATTTTCTTCAGAATATTTGAATTTAATATATGCTGGCTTCATTCCAATACATGTATTCCCTTTGTCGCTCAATATGCCATATGTGAACTGTCTCACAAAATATGCGGAAATATGCGCAAGCATATTTGGTCGAGGCCTACAGTAGTTGTAGTTGGTGTGCCGACTTAATTTGCCACCTTGAAGGCTGAAGCGACTACGAGAATGGCGAACGGACCTCATCATGGCTTCAGCTTCAATTTATGAAAATTTAGGACGAGTCTTGGTTTGAAATTTTGACGAAGTCTGGGTCCCGGGCCGGCACCGGCGATCACCGGTGTGAACGGTTCGCAAACAACAACCACTTTTGGTCAAAATTATACGTGATCGGTGCCTGGGCATATCGCAAGAGTTGGGCACTTCGCCGTCCCTTGCGATTATTTACCGTATGATTTTGTTACGATTGCAATAGTAGTAGTCAAAACGGGTTTATTCAAACAATACGACAAGGAAAGAAGGAAGAAAACCAAAGATGCAAGGGATGTATGTATGTATGTATACTTTATTTGAATTCGCAAATCCAAACGAGCACAAATGCTCAATGACAAGGCAGCGAATATGTTATTATGTTACAGGGAAGGAGGGTTGGGGAGAAAATACGGAGAACAAAGAGAGAATGGTAGATATCTCAATGAAGAGCGAAGCGTTATCAAACTACAAGTAAGCCAGCGAACGATAAGTCGATAGTTCTGTAACCCGCCTAATAAACTAAGTACTTTTTTCAGGCGTGCAGTGGACTGTCATTAAAACAGAAACAGAAAAATAATAATAGGATGAAACTCGACGATGAAATCAAAATGACTGCACTGAAAACGACTACAGCTGTACACTGGTTCACATAATCGCAAAGGGCCGGGAGTGGTTGCAAGAGGCCAACCGCTGGTGACTCCCGGCGCGTACCGGCGATATGCAGATATATGTGAACCAACCCAGACTGAAGAGATCGCTAAAATGTACCGTATGTTTCATGACGTATACGGTTTGTCGCCGGTACGCACCATTTGTACACATTCCATGCACATTCAGTAGATATATCCAGATGGCTATGTCGCCTGATCGACGGTTGGTGCACTGTAGAAGAAAGTTTGCCTTTCTGAAGTCAGAAGTGTGCTCTTTTACAACTCACAAGAGAGACTAAGATAGAAAGAAGCTCTTTTATCCAAGCCTGTCAAGATGAACAAGAACACGTTGTTCTACGCGGGCCAGACGAATGCCGCTCCCAACCTGGAGACCATTGACCAAATCCATGCCAATTGGTCAGCAGATTACGATAAACTGGAGGCAAATCACAATTACATTCAGTGGCTTTTCCCTATCTCCGGTTCGAGTGGAGTCAATCCAAGAGCTCAGGCACTCCAGAAAGCTGAAGCTCAAGCGATCATGAGCAATCCTGCTTCTCGTGCACGATTCATGAAGTCGTATAAGATGATGCTAGGTTTCTACGGCATGCGACTGGTCGACGAAAGCACTGGTAAAGTTCAGCGTGCGGCCAACTGGTCATCGAGATATTCTAATCTGACAGCGAGAACACACAACAATCTGCGCATCACTCGCATTATCCAATGCATGGGAGAAATGCCCGGCATGGCATACTTGCAGGTACCGTTTTTGGAACACCTCATCCATGAAATTGTGCAAACCAAGGCTCTGAGGAGTCTCCTTTCATCGTGCAAGAACTATTGGTTGATGTCAATAGCCGATCCAGTAGCTATACAGAGACTGTATCAACTGATGCCGTAATACTGAGTCGTACGAAAAATGAACGTCTTTCAACGATCACATAATTGAATTATATTCTTACAACACGTGAACCTCTTGTTGAAGTAGCTCCGCCCTGGGGCGGATATTGCAGGCAGAAAAATTGTCAGAATTTGGTACTTTTCTGATATGTTTCATGCATGTTTGGTATGTGGGTAAAGAAATGGAGCAGAATTCAAGGAAGTGCCTGCCTGACATCAATTTTCGTCTGATGATCGATTCGGTTCATGAAACACAGAGTTACGAAACTGCAAATGCTCGTTCTTCTGTCTGTGGTTTGTACGCGGTGATCTGCAATTATTATTATTATTATTATTATTAACTTTTATTTTACTAGGGTGTTTCCCACAGACCTATGGTCTTCTTACGGGAGCCCCTAGGAAGGTTATGCATGAGCGAATAAATGAGCGGTAATCGGTACAAGTACGAACAGTGGAAGGCAGCATATTCCACCGGTCAGCAGCGAGATAGCCAATCCGAGAAAAGCCAGCCGTACTCTGTGCTGGGGGTAATGCCAAAGAAAAAGACACCTGGGATCTCGTAGTGGCAGTGGTGTGAGAGCTACAGCAGCAATTATGTAACGGGGTAGTAAATTTCTTCAGAATTCCCAAACTCCATTGCAGCGCCGGTATTTCTTGCACTTGAAAAATACCGCCATTCCGGCAACAGGCTCTCAGCTGCACCAAATAGATAAAATAAATAACTTTGCCAATATTTCGCCCATTGGGCGAACTATTGGCGAAATATTGGCAAAGTTATTAATCTATTTGGTGCAGCTGAGAGCCTGTTGCCGGAATGGCGGTATTTTCAAGGGGTAGTAAATTCTCTATTAATTTTTTCTCTACTAGGCTTTCGGGGACCATAATCTGTCAACTGTTGCTATGAAGTTGAAGAGTGGTCTTCTGTTGTGGTGCCCTCATCGAAAAATCTGGCCTCATCGGTCGTCTTTAAAGGTACCAATTGTCATCCTGCATCAAGTGTATTTTGGAGGCCAATAAAGTATTATATTAATTAAAGTATTATTACTGTATGTAAAATTGAGTACTAGGGACCGGCGGACTAGTAATGCTCGAAAAGCAGTGAAATTGGCAGAACCATACAAACCTTATGGCGGGCAATTCCTCGAATTCTGCTCCATTTTTTATCCATAATTATACCAAACATGCATTAAACTTACCAGAAAAAGTACCGAATTCTGCCAATTTTTCTGCCGGCAGAATCCGCCGGACCCTATTGAGTACACATTAACGGTCCACATCCGTGGATGTCACCCACACTCGGCCACATCTCTGGAAAAACGCATTGGCAAGATACAGGCATCAGATCTCCGAGTGTCACACACAAGTTACAAGTGTCAAACGGTATTTGAATCGACCATATCTCGTCTACATAGGTGATAGGAGTATTGAAATTGTGCTAATCTATTCAAAGCTTTAAAGGTCGTGCCACTGAAATCTCCCTCCTAGGAAGCTCATCAGTATAATAAATAAATAATATCATCGTGACTCGTGAGGCGTTCAATCGAAACAGATGGGGCAAGGACAAATGGCAAGGTGACCAACAGCAACAAAAAGATAGACGGTGACAATGGGAGTTATTGGACACACTTGCTCCTCGACTATAGTCGCTGTTCAATACTGCTGATAAACGAATGTAAATACACTCATACCTCGGTTATCCGGACCCCGAAGTTACGGGCACTTCGGTCTACCGGGCACTATTTGGGCGAGTTTCAGGAGAAATATTACTACTCTTTTGTCACTTTTCGTAGAAATATTGACGTCATATGCCATATCGATGGCCTTTTCCCCATCAAGATGTATATGATTCGGAGTTACGGACATTTCAAAGTTACGGGCAGTGCAAGGTCCCGGACTGCCCGGATAAACGAGGTATGAGTGTACTAGTATCGAATACAAGAGACATTTCACGTATCACCACCATGGGTTCGTAACTTAGAGGCTTGTAACATTACTTTATCGACTTTAGGGGGCATCCGCATGATGACTGACCTCTTCGCTACCTTGTTATTGGGAAGAAATTCCCGTTTGGATTTTGTGAAGTAAAACAAAGTTTTAAAAAAAGACAACCTAGGGGTGGATGTCGGATAGCGTAACCATGGTAACTTGTAGTTCCTTGGTCCTTTTTCTTTTCTATAAACCTAGGGGACGTCAACATTATCATAATTTACTAATTTCACCCAATTCCAAAGAACTGAACTCGCTTCAACAAGCCTTGCCGACCTTCCATGACGCCAATATTTTGTCAGCTTCACACATGAAGCCTAGGTAGAATGGTTCCAGATGACCAACTTCAGAAACCTCAGTTTTGCCTCCACACAGACGAGAAATGCATATCTTACCCCATTTGCATAATGAAAAGTGTTACGAACTTAGAAAAGTGTTACAATATTATAGCAAAATCACTTCGTACATGCGTGGCTCTGCAAATTTCACTGCTTTTCGAGCAGAATCTGCCTATTTTCAATCTGCCTATTTTCCGAGCACTATCTGCCAAGGGCTATTGCCAGTATTGGGCATCCATCAATCTACTGTAAATATACAAAATTTCGGCACTTCACGATTTTTGACATTTCGGCACTTCACGATTTTTGACATTTCGGCACTTCACGATTTTTGACATTTCGGCACTTCACGATTTTTGACATTTCGGCACTTCACGATTTTTGACATTTCGGCGGCGATTTATTTCGGCGTGGGGTAGAGGGCATGGTATAGTGCGACAGATGCTGTGAAAAATTTCATCGGCGTTTTAATTTAGGCGTTTTGTGTTGGTGCCGAATATAGCCGAAATTAAATAGCTGCCGAAGATTTGTATTTAGTACTAGGGCTGAAACGATCGTGGATTTTCAAGTATCGATTACTCTTTAGCTTAACGATCGAGTAATCGATTATACTCGTTAGCAAATAGAGTCATAATTCTGTGCAAACATTACTTTCCACAAACTATGCCTTCATAATACCAACACATCTGCATTTGTGAAAGGGTAGCTCCGAAACATGGCAGTTTTGAAGTCAATTTAACCTCAGAACATGAACCATACCCCTGGCAACTGCATACTCCCAGCGGAAACTGATTCAAACTTCACAAAACGAGGGCTTACAGTACTTTCTTGACACACATAAAAAACGCAAAATAATCGTAATCGGTAATCTAAACGATTGCTCGATCGTTAGAGTTATCAAACGAGTACTCGATTATTCGGTATAATCGTTTCAGCCCTAGTATTTACAGTATTGCCTATTGGTGAGCCTGACACTTTTCGATTTTAAAAATGGTACTGTCATGTAGACTAGTATTACTAAAACCAAGACTGAGTACCGTGAGTACATAACCCGTTAACCCCCTCTTGCTACAACGATGAGAAAGGCAAAGCAAAGAGCCTGCACCTGCGCATCGCACGCTGGAGACTGGACCGGACCACGGTCCACTGTCGGGTTCGCGCGCAGTGGACGGGTGCCACCGGTAGCAGCTGCACCAGCCTGTGTCACAATACGCGGGCAGTAAGTGAAACCACAGTGACACTAGCACTATGACTATGAGTGGCATGCACGTCGCCATGGCCGACTCGACCTAGTACCTGTGTTCAGTAACTGTTACTTACTTCCCGCGCATGAGAGCCCGAGTTCGTGTACTGAACAGAGTCGGTCGGGTCTCGACTCGGTCAGCTTGAGCAGACGCATCTCAGCGACAGTGTCGGCAAGGAGCTTGGAAGAACGGGGCTCTGCAAGAATTAATAACAGAACAACGAAGTCCTACAACGGCCGAGGGATTTCACAACAGCTTATGCGCTATCTATATTGCCGCACGGCCAGCAAGAGAAGAATTTTCACAACAGCTTGACCATGTGGACGCGCGCTACAACACGACCAGCAAGAGGAAGAGGCCGTGTGAATGGATTTGTTCCCGCTTTGAGCATGGCTGTGAGCATGGCCATCCGTGTGACCTCTGCGGCATTCATGCTGTGGTATTGCAAGTTCTTGTGCTGCCAGCTATGCGCCCGACGAGTGAGTGAAACCCAGTCTCTGTCAACGCTCCGCAACTGGGGCCGTACATGCTTCCCTCTACTCCGTAAGTTTTGATTGTGGACTTGCATTCGCCGCGCAGGATTTCTCTTCGCCCACATTGCGTAGGGCTTACACAGCGAATTGCCGTATTAGGTAGGTAGGTAGGTTTTTATTTCACTTCGCACATTCAAACGGGATGACGACCCAAAAAAATGACGGCGAAGGCTTAGCCTAGAAGTGGCTATGGAAGAACATAGTAAAAGCTATGGAAGCACATAGTAAGAGAATAGGATACTAATAACTGCGGGTAAACGGGGGGAGAGAGAGAATACGATGTATCTGTGATACTACGTGCGGGTTACTGAACTGCACGGGGAGGGAGAGCAGAGCGATCAGCAGCAACTCGAACTACTCCCTACAGGCGTATGGTACACATGCAGGGCATAGATTAACGGCCGGACATCGGACATTTTCCGGCCATTTTCGGCCACTGACCGGACGATTTCAATTTCACCGGACATAGTGTCCGGTCAAAAAAGGAAAAAAAGAGCAGCGACCTTTCGACCTTTTTATTTTATGCAGAGTTGGGCTTTCTTCGGAGCTTCGTGCCAAATGCGACTTGCATATCGTACAACTAACACGTCTACACCGTAGCCTCAGGCGTAGACTTCACCAGATTTACTTGATCCGCCTGTAGCAACGCGGTTGCTACAGTCAATTCACACTTTCGACAGCAGAATGTTCGAAGTGTTCCGTGTGCATCAAGTTTGTAGACAGAGTCCGCAGTTGTAAAACTTCAGCGAGGCTTTCATAACCGGATCCAAGAACCTGAGAATATCAGCGTTCAAGGATCATGCTGGAACGGAGATGCATAAACGAGCAATGAATCTTTTCCGTAGGCAAGAGTGTCCTGCTCGAAATGCCCTCGAATTCGCTCCAATTGCGAAGGCACTGTGCAAGATGGACGATGGTGCTGCCGCTATTGCACGACGCAAATTCGAACTGACTTACCTTCTCTGCAAGGAGCATATCGCGTTCGCAAAATTCTTGACTGCAACGCTTTCTTGTACATACATTTGTCGTCAGTAAAAAAAAAAAGTTCAGTTTCTAATACAAATAAATTGGCGAATTGTACATAGTAATGTGCGAGATACGTCCACATAATGAGTCATTGTGAATATACTTCAGTACTAAAAAAAAAAAGAAGAAACACCCTGAAAATGTGTTGTGGAAAATGTCCGGTCATGTCCGGACAGATTTCAAAACGGAAGGACATTTGTCCGAGCTAAATGAAATCCTTAAGCTATGCCCTGCACATGCATGCTTGAACTCAGGTAGCCGGGTAATTGTGCGGACCTCACCAGGGAGAGCGTTCCACAGCAGAGCACCAGCAACAGAAAATCTCCGCTGACCGCGGCGCGGCGGCTACGGTTTGCCTGGCTTAGTAGGCCATTTGACTGCTGATGGCGGGTAGGGGTGCCTTGTGCCGGGGTCAGAAGCTGGGCGAGCACAGGGCTGGTGCGGGCGTGGATGCACCGCCAGATGGTGATCAATATTTTCTGCCTGTAGAGCTCGCTGACACGGTACAGGGAGTGAGCAGCGGCTGCATGGCTGTCCGGGGCGGGTTGCCATCGATACAGCGGATGGCTCTGTTTTGCGTGGTTTGCAGTCGTTTCAGTTGACCCTCTCGCATTGCGGCTGAAAAACAGCAGGAGCCATAAAGCAGGTCGGGCATTATGACCGCTGTTGGTACGACCAAGTCACCCCACAGATCTCCACTAGTAACTTGCTCAGTTTAGACCAAGACATGAATAACCTTGGGTAGTAGTAAACCTAGGTGCTGTTATGCACATGTCTGTACTGTTCCCCGGCCCTCAGTTACCTCAGCCTGCTCATGACTACTGTGTGTTGTGTCTTGTTGATGTCCCTATTCATAACTGCTGCATGCATTCATTGCTAGTGCCATGCATAGTTCTTTGCCCTACTGTGGTGGGAAGGTCGTCCCGTGCAGCCGCAATGATCAGCTGCGCTACGGAAGTTCAGTTCCGGCAAACACGCGTGCGGATTTGCATTTTGCTGCTTGATTTTGATGTATTTGTAGGCAGTGCAAGGAAAGAGCTTGCTGGTGCAGTTGTTGTGTTCTTGGTCTTTGGCTGTTTCTGTTACTACCAGGTAGTAGCTAGCCTTTTGAAGTATTGCAATCAGTTTGCAATGGATACAGTCTTCTCCTAGTGATAATATTCTATAAACCTCAGACTCTGTGTTGTGAGTGAGAATACCGGCGCAAACATTGGTCCTTCGAGCCGGATCGCGAATGGCGGAGGAACAAAGAACGAGTGCTCGTTCAACCAAGGGAGTTGCTCCCAGGCGACTGGGGTTTGAGGACGAAGAGAGTGCGACCAGTCCAAGAACCAGCTTCAGCAGGCAGACACCGTCGCTCGCATCAAGCCGCACGTCAGGAAGTGCGCCATCAGTGATGGAAGCAAGGTGCGCCCTGCTAGAAGCGAGAAAGAGGGTCGCAGAGGCGGAGGCTGACCTGGCCAGCTTGAATCTCGAGAGGGCGTCCAGACGCTCTGGCACCCCGAAGTCTTCATCGCCCGCGATGAGAGAGGAAGTGTTCGAGGAAGAGCGACGATCTGAAATGCAAGCGCCCACAGCTGCAAATGGCAGCGATGAGGTGAGCGTGTTGTACCCTGCTAAATCCGTACAGTCAGGGCAAACTAGTGACCCGGACTTAATAGACCTGAGTGCAGATAGTGTCTGCGACCCACGTACAGTCAAGTCCCGTTCTACAAGCGGTAGGACAGTAGAGCGACTTCAAGGAGTTGGCAAAAACTCAGTTTTAGTGTCAGACTCAGTAAGTACCGGTACACAGCGCACGGAGCAGGTAGAGCAAGGTACTGCATGTAGTGCCTCTTCACACATTCCGTACAGCGTGGCAGAACGCGCAGATGACACACCGCTAGCTCTAGCGCCAGCAGCGCTCCAAACACTGCACGGTAGTCCTGAACCTGTGAATATCCCTGAGCAGTCAGCTGTAACCGCACACAATGCACAGTCACAGGCCAATGAAGACGACGCACTCAGTCACGCACACCGGATGATTGATTGCCTGCAGCAAACTTTACAACAGTCCGCTGACGAAAGTCATGAGAAGGATCTTGTCGTGCAACACCTTCAGTCTGAATTGCGGCGAACACGTTGCGAGCTAGACCTCCACAAGAGCACAGCTCAAGCTGAGAACAGCGACCTGTATGATTGCAACACCGAACTGCGGGCTGAACTCGACAAGATGAAGCGCGTATCGGAGCAGCGCAAGGTAGAGTTCGAGGCGATGGCCTGCCAGAGACAGCGGTCACGCGAAGAACTCCAGGAGATCGAGGAGCAGGCTGCGCGCGCGGAGGGTGACAAGGATCACCTACGTGAGCTCCTGAGTCAAGCCAGGCAATCTGCGGAGCAGCAGCAAAGGACAGCTGACCAGTGGCGCCAGCTGTTCCTAGAGGAATGCGCAGCGCGAGGTAGCCCTGCAGACCGGGCAGTCAAACAGAGACGTGATACCGTGACTGACACGAGTAGTCCTGGTAACGATGCTCGATTCCACGCCGTCCACGAGTACGAGCCTCGACCTGCAGAACTCAGGGGAGCGAGGTCTGTGGACAAGTCATCATCATACCACCGCCGGACCCCAGCTGAGCACCACCAACCCGTCCCGAAAGATACTGAGGATGTGGAGTCCCTTGGCGACAAGGCTGAGCCGACACAACACCTGCCGCCCGCAGCACGCGCTAGGGACCAGCCAATCGCAGATGAAGAGCACACCCCGGCCCAGGCCGCTCAGACTTCAGTGGTGACAGCTGTCAGCCAGCTTGCGGAAGCCTTGGCCGGACACCTGACGACAGCCACGCAGAGACATGGCTCCCAAGATACTGGCAGCGACCTTCAGAAGATAGTCGCCCGACAGTCCACCGCAAAGGACCTCCCAGAGTTTAACGGCGACCCGGCGTCCTGGCCGATGTTCCGCCATATGTTCACGTCATCGACGAGTGAATGCGAATTCTCCAATGCGGAGAATATGGCCCGGCTACAGAAAGCCCTCAAAGGGAAGGCTAAGGACACCGTCAAAGCCATGCTCATCGTACCTGATAACGTCGATCGTGTCATGCAGACTCTGGAAATGCGGTTCGGGCAGCCAGAGCAGGTGATACAGACCATAATTGACGGCGTCAAGAAACTGAAGCCAGCTGGAGAAGAGGACTTCGAGGCCCTCATCGACACGGCAAATGCGGTCGGCAACCTCGTCGCAACAATGCAGCTCATGAACGATACCGGACATCTCACAAATCCCACCCTGCGGCAGGAAGTGATCATGAAACTTCCCAACAGCCTGAAGCGGCAATGGGGGGAGTTCGTCCATACCCAACAGACCGGAGTGACCCTGGCAACACTCTCCGAATGGCTATCACAACGAGCGGACGCTATCAGCCACGTCAGAAGACTCACCGCCACTGACAGAGCTGAAAAGCCGCCATCTGGCAGGCGACCAGGCGGCCTCCGTGGGAACACCTTCACCGCACGAGAAGAACAATGCGGTTTCTGCAAGAAAGCCGGACACTCCGCTGCCAACTGCAACACCTTGAAGAAGGCCCTAGTCAAGGACAGGTGGAAGTGGATCAAGAATGAGAACCGCTGCTTCGTCTGTTTTGGCTGTGGACACCAAGTCAGGGACTGCCCGAAGAAAGCACCGTGCGGACGTGACGGGTGCGAAAGGCTACACCACCGACTCCTCCATCTGCCGCAACCGAGCACGCAGGAGAGGACGGGGGACCAGCCAGCGCCGTGCAACGCAACTCGACGACCTACCAGTGGGAGGGTGATGCTGCGCACAGTACCCATCAACGTCACAGGCACGAAGGGGACGGTACACACGTTCGCTCTGCTCGACGAAGCATCTACAGTCACGTTGCTTGACGCTAGCCTAGCCAAGGAGATCGGCGCCAAGGGGACGCACTGCCCGCTGACACTGACCTGGACGGACGACACCAGCCAGACTGACAACAACTCCAGGAAGGTGGAGGTTTCGGTGTTCGGAAGCGGGCAGGAGTTCTACCTGAACGATGTACGAACCGTTACACTGGATCTACCCAAGCAAGACCTCGACGTCAACAGCACCTGCCAGCACTGGAAACACCTCCGAGACGCTGATCTGACAGTGGAGGATATGCAGAAGCCCAGAATGCTCATCGGGCAGGACAATTGTGACCTGATCATGCCCCGAGAGTGGGTCGAGGGACCGCCCGGATCGCCGGTAGCCACGCGGTGCAAGCTAGGCTGGGCAATCCACGGCAGAGTCGATGACCTCAGCACCGAAAACGCCCACAGCAGCCTGTCAGCGCAAATCAAAGATGGCTGCTTCGATGACGACCTACATCTGCTCGTCAAGTCTTTCTTCACCACAGACTCGTTTGGTGTCAAGGTCACCAGCACTAAGATCCGGTCCCGACAGGAAGCGCGAGCTGAGAGGATCATGGAATCGACCACCAGACGAGTCGGAGACCGCTGGGAAACCGGACTCCTGTGGAGAGAAAGTGGCATACTCCTACCAGAGAGCAAGGCCATGGCCCTCCGGCGGCTGTTCTCCATCGAGCGAAAGATGGACAGGGATCAAGTCTTCGCTGACGCGTACTGCAGTAAGATCGAACAGTACCTGGCTGCCGGTTATGCTTTCAAGCTGACACCAGAAGAGGAGACAGCATTCCACGAGCGCAAGTGGTACCAGCCGCACTTTGGTGTCACGAACCTGAACAAACCAGGGAAGCTGCGACTAGTCTTCGACGCGGCAGCCTCAAGCAACGGCATGAGCCTAAACGACGCCCTGGTTCCGGGACCGGATCTGCTGAATTCTCTCACCGGCGTTCTATTCAAGTTCAGGGAGCACCGTATTGCCTTCGGCGGCGATATACAGCAGATGTTCCACCAGGTTCAGATTCGGGAAGAAGATCAACCATCCCAACGCTTCCTTTGGCGAGGCATGAAACGTGACAGAGAGCCGGACGCGTACCAAATGAAGGCGATGACGTTCGGAGCGGTATGCTCGCCTGCCTCGGCCCAGTTCGTGATGCGGAGGATTGCTGAGGAGTTCAGGGACAACCACGAAGAAGCTGTCTACGCAATCAACCGCAAGCACTACATGGACGACTACTTCGATTCAACGCCAACAGTGGAGACAGCTGTCGCCAGAGCGCTTCAAGTCGTCAAGATCCACAAAGCCGGCGGGTTCACCATTCGTAGCTGGGTAAGCAACTCGTCAGAGGTCCTAGCAAGCGTGCCACCCGAGCTCAGGTCCAACAGCGCTCTCACGATCGACAGCGGTGAAACGGCCACCCCGACCGAGAAGACCCTTGGCCTCAAATGGATGCCGCGGGAGGACATCTTCAGCTTCAAGCTAAGTGCACGACTGGTGACACAAGAAGCAGAAGTGACGCAGCCGACAAAGCGACATGTGCTACGCATGTGCATGTCAGTATTTGATCCGCTTGGCTACCTGGCATTTCACACGGTATCGGCAAAGGTACTTCTCCAGCGGATATGGCGCACCGGAGTCAGCTGGGACCAGCCGCTACCGGATGACCTCGTGACACGCTGGAAAGAGTGGTGGCAAATGCTACTCAAGCTGAGCGAGCTGTCTGTGCCACGCCCCTACAGTGAAGATATGACCAAGAGAGCCCAAGTTCAACTACACGTCTTTGGAGACGCCAGCGAGTCGGCCTTTGCGCCCGCAGCCTACCTCAGAGTCACCTTCGCCGACGGGAGTGCCCAGGTCGCTTTCGTGCTGGGAAAAGGAGGAGGTGGCTGCATGAATACCTGCCGACGTTGACAAGGAGGACCAAGTGGCATCAGCGACAGCAGAAAGAGGTCAAGGTCAATGACATAGTCGTGATTGCCGACAGAGACCTACCCAGAGGCAGCTGGCCGAAAGGTACCATTACGGCCGTCTATCCCGGCACCGATGGACATGTCAGAGTGGCCGACGTCAAGACAGCGTCCGGGACATACCGCAGGCCGGTGTCAAAGATCTGTGTGCTGGACGTTCTGAATGAGGGTGACGCTTGAAGACGTCACCGGGGGGAGGATGTTGGTACGACCAAGTCACCCCACAGATCTCCACTAGTAACTTGCTCAGTTTAGACCAAGACATGAATAACCTTGGGTAGTAGTAAACCTAGGTGCTGTTATGCACATGTCTGTACTGTTCCCCGGCCCTCAGTTACCTCAGCCTGCTCATGACTACTGTGTGTTGTGTCTTGTTGATGTCCCTATTCATAACTGCTGCATGCATTCATTGCTAGTGCCATGCATAGTTCTTTGCCCTACTGTGGTGGGAAGGTCGTCCCGTGCAGCCGCAATGATCAGCTGCGCTACGGAAGTTCAGTTCCGGCAAACACGCGTGCGGATTTGCATTTTGCTGCTTGATTTTGATGTATTTGTAGGCAGTGCAAGGAAAGAGCTTGCTGGTGCAGTTGTTGTGTTCTTGGTCTTTGGCTGTTTCTGTTACTACCAGGTAGTAGCTAGCCTTTTGAAGTATTGCAATCAGTTTGCAATGGATACAGTCTTCTCCTAGTGATAATATTCTATAAACCTCAGACTCTGTGTTGTGAGTGAGAATACCGGCGCAAACAACCGCCTTCACATACACCTGACGAGAGCGTCTTGATAGGCTTCGGCGTGCCCGCCACAAGGCGCCAATTTTCTTGGCCACCTTGGTGACCACATAGTTTACATGGGTGTCCCAATCTAGGCGATTGTCAAGGTGAACGCCAAGGTAGCGCGCAGAAGACGCTGAGGGGAGGAGACAGTCGCCGCTTTTGACTGTTACTTCCTGTACATGCTGCTGGGGAGAGATAGTCAGAACCTGGCTCTAGGTGGCGTTCAAGATGAGGCCTCGGGACTTCAGCCAACCGGCCAGAGCAGTTGCCGCTGTGGTGAGGGTTCTGGACGCTTCTGCCGCTGAAGATTACATAAACGAAATGTTTGAATAGCGCCGTAGACCCGACTGAGTGTAAGGTGCACCGCTAGCGCTGGCATAGGCATACGTACAGAAATAGTAATGATACTAATAACTTTGAAGAAGGGCTGAGGCTTCCTGCAGCTTCATCTGCGAAAAGAATTCGGGTGGACACACCCATTCCCGTAGCGCTGCATATCACATCCGAACCAGTTCCGTTATTTTTACAACGTTTCGGCACTTGGCCATCGTCAGGTAATAACAATGAATACCGTGGAAGCCACACAAGAGCAGTATATACGCAGAGTGTAGCGCCAAAAAAGATGCGAATTATGTCACCTAGTATGCAGAAGGGGGGGACAGAGAGAGAGAAAAGGCGCAACTAGCACATCACGGAGGAGAAGCAGCAGAAGGTAGCGCGCATTGTGCTCTGTGAATGGCGTTACGCAGAGTGTAGCGCCAAAAAATAAAATGATGTGAGTTATGTCACCTCTATACAGAGGGGGGGGGGGGAGAGAAGGTGCAACTGTGCACATCACGGAGAAGAAGAGCGTGCCGTTGTCCTCTACGAAGTGAGGGTACATGCCAAATAATTATGGTGTTAATTCTAGCACAGGAGGGGAGCACGGAGCCCCATGAGTCAATGCACTATGAGGTTAAACTTAGGGACGCGACGAGACATCAGGAACAGAATGGATTTGAGTGACCCGCCTTATAATTATTCAGTGATATTGAAGTAGCAGCAGGGGAAGCTGAGAAAATTCACAACAAATCCCATCCGGTGCTTATGTTCACATGGGGCTTGGCATCACGAATCTTAATCGCCTCGCCCAGTTTGCGACGGGCTCGATCAGGCTCTCTTCCTATTACTTCAACTGCAGAGAATGCACTTTGCCCATAGTTAAGCTTACATCCAGGGTGAGTGGCACGAAAATGTTGGCCCCATGGCTTGTCGAGTTCCTGGCGTCTTGCCTCACCATTATGTTCTTCCAGGCGAGTTTCCAGAAAGCGGCCAGTCTCACCAACATATTGTTCCGGACATTCTTTGCACTTCAGCTGATATACAACATTCTTCTGCATACATACATCTTGTCCCCCGGATATACACGAGATACACGGCCCCTTTGGGCGACCTCTCTTTTTCGGTTGTTATGTCACCTCTGTATAGTATAGAGGTGACATAACTCACATCATTTTATTTTTTGGCGCTACACTCTGCGTAACGCCATTCACAGAGCACAATGCGCGCTACCTTCTGCTGCTTCTCCTCCGTGATGTGCTAGTTGCGCCTTTTCTCTCTCTCTGCCCCCCCCCCCTTCTGCATACTAGGTGACATAATTCGCATCTTTTTTGGCGCTACACTCTGCGTATATACTGCTCTTGTGTGGCTTCCACGGTATTCATTGTTATTACCTGATGATGGCCAAGTGCCGAAACGTTGTAAAAATAACGGAACTGGTTCGGATGTGATATGCAGCGCTATGGGAATGGGTGTGTCCACCCGAATTCTTTTCGCAGATACTAATAACTCTTTAAAAAATGGGAAAGTGTCCGTACTCGCGGGATAAGAGCCCTCTCTTGGATACTGTCCCTGTATGCTGTCTCCGAGAGCCAGTGAAAAAATAGTACCGTCTCTTGAATATAGTGCCCTCTCTTGAATAGTGCATTGTCTGCGATAGACTGAACAAAATGCCCAGGGACACGAGTCGTACTCGTGCAAATCCGGTAGATACAAGTCCTGAATCATGAGTAACTATCCACCGCTGTGACTGGATGCTATGCAGTCAGAAAGTGCTACAATTAGGCACAACACTGGCTGAGAGTACTGAGACATTCAATGGTAACGAGTATGAGCCAAGTCGCACGGTAACCACGGTAACAAGGAATAGGTATTCACTAGTTGAGGAAATGGAAAAGGGAAAAAGACTTTTAATTTTAAAAAAATTGACTGTCACCACCAAGACTCGAACCAGGGACCTGGGACCAAGCGATGCTCTAACCACTGAGCTATGGTGTAGCTGTCATCCCAGCGGAGACTGTTCAACATTTTCTTCAGACTTGGAAACTCACGCTTCCTGTGCAACTACACGTACACAGGCTTGTGGGACGCAAGGAAACAACAAGGAAGGTTGGCTGTAACTGTAAGTGCAACAATGAATGTCGACTGTTACTGGACGGTGATGCGACCAGTAAGATACTTGACAAAGTGGTCTAACTACAATTCGAAGCGGCACACCACCCAACTTGGGTGGGTCAGAATTATCTGGAATGGGTAGCTTTTTATTTTTTTATTTTATTTTTTTACAATGATCACAGCTCAAAGGCAAAGACAAAAAATTGCATAGTGGGAGCATAGTGATGGTGAGGCTTTTTGCCCTCAGCCGACCTGAGGTCTGAGAAAACAAATTGTACAAAACCGGACGCCAATATCCTACAGTACTCCTCATGAGATGGACTATTTGACTCTCCCTTAACTATGAACCTTCCAAGTTGGACATAGACAAGGCAAGTGCAGGTTTCAGTACAATAGACTTGGGTAGGGTAAGACTAAGAGGTACGATAAAGGAAAATTGGTAGGGGGTAGGGTTAGGGCTATAGCGCCCAGGTTAGGATTAGGGTCAGAGTCTTGGCCAGGGCTAAGGTTATTATGATTAGTGTCTGGGCAAGTTTGTAAATAAAGTAAACTGTCGTGTCCGCTCACAAAGTGAACCCACAGGGTAAGGGTCAGGAGGAAGGGTATGGTAAGAGGGTTAGGAGGGTCAGGGTCTGGGAAAGGGTTAGGTTTGAGGTTCGGGCTAGAGATCGATGGGGCTTACCGGTAAGGGTGAGAGAGTTAACAAGGTACAGGTCACTTATACAAAATTAATAATAAACTCCTCCATACAGCTGTCTTGATCATTCAGTTATCGTCGGTGAAGGACTGAGTATGATGTAAAACATACTGAATGGCCAGAACCAGTGAACAGCACCATTTATTATACCGAGATAAAAAGTAAATTATCGTGTCCGTTCCCAAAGGGAACTCATGACGGCCGCTAACACCCGGTAAACCCTAGCGGCAGATGCAGCGCCTAACGGTGGGGTGAGTGGATATGTCTCACATTCACTGGCACAAGTGCCGAGAAATCCCATTAGCCGCATCCATGTGCCCTTTGTGCCTGGCCACAAGTTCCCAGTTGACTGTGATTAGCAGCACGGCTGGAAAAACCGCTCCCGGCAGGACTTGAACCAGGTACCTCTCGTATCTCAATCATGGTCTTTTACCAACCCACTGTGCCTGCCTGGTATTATACAGAGAACTGCTAAAATGCAAGCGCGATTACCGGTACCAAGAGTTCATAACCCCCAAGAGTGCAACTCCTGATCAGTCCCTGTATGGAAGCCCGCTCGGCGGAATTCCTTCATTGCGTCATTTTTGGTGCAGTGCGATGAGTCACGCCGATGAATTCTTCTAAAATTTACAGTCAAACCAGGATGCTTCCCCAGGGTAAACTGCCTAAACTGCGATTCTAGTCTGAGTCTGAGCCTCAAGAAAAAGCAAAAGTGAAACAAAGCGCACGATCCTAAAGTCAAGACAAAACTGTTTATTTTTTCGATGCAATGGTGACTCGACCTCTTCATCGCCTTCTTCTTTCACCAGTGCAGTCAGTCTCTTCAAGAACAATTTCTTCCCCAGGCCATCGGCATATTTCCGGTGCTTTCCTCGAAGATGATTTCAAATGGTTGAGGAACTTAGAGAATACGTCGAAGGAGCATTTTTCGGCTAAGTTGCACAGCTATCAGAATGATTGTCCTCGACGGCAATGCAATTTTTTTAACAGCGTCCTCACTTCTTCCTGTCGTGATGTCCATGGATTCTTGGAGAAAGACGGTTTGTTTTTGAGAATGTACGACTTGCACGTCCGAAATGTCTTCAAAAAAAGCTTCGAAAAGTCGAGGCTACAGCCTTGAGTTAGGAGGGGTTCAGGGTATAGTTTCCAGAAATCGCAAAGAACCCAAATTTACCTCGGATGACAAGCTGCGCATGACGTAATGTAGGAATTTCGCCGAGCGCTGGGTCTATGCCCGCTGCATACTCTTGGGGGTTATGAACTCTTGCCGGTACGTGCTTTGAGCATTATACCAAGAGAACACAACCCCCAAAGTGTCTTGACTTGCTTTATTCAAAGCCCCACAAAGGTACAAGAGAAGAGCGAGAGAGAAAAGGGAAACCAAGGAGGAGTCCAGGTAGAAAAGGAAAAGTCACTTGAAAGACTAGAACATTGAAACCCCCCCCCCCCTCCCCAAAGTGTGCAACCGCGGCCTGATCTAGCTGATCTAGCTGATCTAGCTCTGCATAGGGTCTTGGTCGAGCGTAATCGGATCTTTGCGTCATAATACTGTATACATCTGAGGGGAACCCGGGGAGTCCGGGGTACTCGCGGATCAAACACGACGGCGCCCTGCCTCGAGACCGGCCTTGCGCTGGTGTGAAGTGTACGCATGACATCAGAAGATTCGACTACGCTCAGGCTCGACCAAGACCCTATGCAGAACTGGATCAGGCGTTGCACACTCTGGGGGTCATGTACTCTTGATTATACTGATAAAGGCAAGGGTACTGCATAGTGCAGACATTAGGTCAATGCATAGTGCAGACATAGGTCAATGCATAGTGCAGACATAGCCAGTCAATGCATAGTGCAGACATAGGTCAATGCATAGTGCAGACATAGCCAGTCAATGCATAGTGCAGACATAGCCAGTCAATGTGATAATCGGCTGGCTAACTGTAGTTTTATCCAAGATGCCGTGATATAGCTTATCATCAGATCGTTGAATGTCAGTATCACATCAGTCAGTATTGTGCTAGCTGTTGCACCTTCTCACTACACAACATCTTACAATATCTTACAATATCTTGCTTATAACTATTTAAAATGTTGGATACAAACTACGGATAACATGTAACATTTTGGTCCTTTCTTTTTAAATTTAATCCTTGGCTCTCCATCCGAGTCCTAATTGCTGTGACAGTTCAGATTTTGGGTTCCAGCCCTGCTTACCTACCCTCTTGATTTTGATTGTCACCAAATGCAAGAATACCCTATAGTATATCCGCACCTTTTTGCGGCCATGGCCATGCATGGAGGGATAATCAGGACTCAGGTGCGTGCGCCGGTGCCCTTCAAGGGGAGGGGGGGTTCCGGGGCCCTCCCCGGGAAAAATTTCAAAAAATCCTGCATTTTGAGCGAAAAAAGGGGGGTTCCGGGCACCCAGGAACCCATATATAGTCCATCAGCCAGTGGTGCCAAAGTGAGTCCCCTGTTGCACTTACAAATCGAACACCTGGAACTGACATCAATCGACAGCAAAAGAATCACTGAATCCGACCTGCCTACTTTCCCTGGCGAAACTCTTGCACTCCTTTTACAGTGCGCCTTGGAAGTTCGACAAATTTCTTCTTCTTCATCAGCCATTACGAGGTTTTCCATCCGTTTTATCAGGACATCCAATGCGTCTTCAGTGAAAAACACGTGGAGTTTTGTCAACGTTTGGTGTGGTTTTCCGTGGCGATCGACCTAAAATCGCGAAATAAATCGCCGTCGATTTGAGCAGAGGTGAGTTGGCTTGGAGCACGTACAGATTCAAAAAATATGTGTACATGCGCACCGGGAAGAAGATGAAGATGCTCACCATTTTCAAAATAATAACTAATTCAAAAAACTACATGACTATTGTCAAGAGACTGAGTGGACTCTTGCTATTGTACTGCAATTGTTGTAGTTACTTGTTTGCAACTACAATGGTATCAAGTAGATAATCAAGCGAGGTACAGAGGGATTGATGACTGATCAAAGCCCAAGGGACCAGCCCGAGGGCTTTGATCAGTCCGACTGTACCTCGCTTGAATATGCTTCAGGCGATCCCCAACAATTTTTTGGATTTTGAATTCAATTGCTTTATTCTTTGGGTGATCTCGAGTGTGGCAGATAGTACTTCGAAGTAGTACAACTGTAACTGTACTACTACCTGGTTGCAACATGTTCAAAGCAGCCTTGCCTTTATTTCAACTGTTTGCTGTCAGCATCCAGAGCCATGGCGTTTGCTAGTTGGTCGTAATGGAGAAGAGAACTGCAGGGCATTCACTCAATGTACAACATCCAGAGCCGCAGATTCCTTACTTTTAGCTCTCCACGTTCCTTATTTTTCCAGGGATCAGGACCTTCCCGGGGTGATTCCATTCAGGGTGGAAGCGTAGATCACTTTTGCCAAACAGTAAAAACTACGCTTCAAACCTGCTTGACATGACTCGGGATGCACACTTCGGAAACCCGAAGGTGGATGATGTTCAATACTAGCTCATTGTAATCTTCCTGAAGGTATGTATTCGGATGCTCAATTTAAATAGAACAGTGAAAGAGATGTGTAATGGAACAACACTCTACAAGTAGGCGAACAACAATTTTATTGTAATTTGAATCCAGGCACACGTGTAATACGGAAACTGCAATGGTTTACACTGCAAATCTTCTCGATTTGCAAGATTTTTCCCGTAATTCACAAAAATCTGAAAGTTCATTCCTGAAACGCACATGGCACTGATTGGAGATTGGGTTTAGGTCACAATGGCTGTCGATGAAATGCCAAAAATGGTCACTTTGTCGGCTTCCCCCTGCAGAGCGTGAAAGTCGTTTACTCTTTTTATTTGCGGATTCGGTGTACAGGGTACGTAAACTCCCCATTGAGGCCAAAATCAAGTATTCGATTTCTAAGTGCAACAGGGTGCTTGAATTTGACGACTTCTGAGTTCTTGGCTGATGGACTAATACGGGCCATGCGCCTGATAATTATTAGATTATAAAGCCAGTCTCAGTTATAAACCCTTCCTTCCTTGTACCACTGCCGTGTCCCGCTATGTGACCCCCAAAGGGGCAGACTCGGACTTGTGCTGTCCATCAGGGCGCTCGACGCGAGT